GAGAAACACATTTAAGAATGTTTGTTGAGTGGATTATTATACATGATATACTTAAAAAAAAATAATGTGAGATGTGTTAAAAGCTTGCATCCTATTCAGATAAAAAAAAAAACAAAAAACCAGATTTATAGCATTAAATACTAGATTTTCCCATCTAAGATTGCTACTTTAGGCTAGAAATAGATTTGTTGCCTTATGCCAGTGATTGGAATCCTAGTGTTGCACTGTAGGATAAGCACTGGACTGCTAACCACAAGGTTGGTGGTTCAAACCCACCAGCCCTTCTTGGATACCTTTTACAGGGTTGCTATGAGTCAGAACTGACTTAATGGCACTTAACACATCAGTGATTATAGTAATATTATGAAGTAAATACAGAAAAAGAATAATTATTTTTCAATCAGAATATACCTAATTCAAAGATTTATTTTTTATATGATCTACTCTTTGCCATTTAACATGCCAGAAACCCCTTGCTTCTAAGATGTTTAGTGGAATAGCAGATTTGGAATCAGGAATTTTTACATCCCATTTTCATATCAGAAAAACTCTAGATGTATTTCCCATACTACATGACAAAGGCAGTTAGACCCAGGGAAAAAGGGCTTAATAGGGTTAGCTGACTGGGACTGTGGCAAGTGGTAAATCTTAGGACATCACTGAAGGATTCCAAACCCTACAGAGTTACAAAAATAACTAACCTATATATAAACGTTCTCATCATAACAGATATAGTGTATCAACACTTTGCAAAGGAAGAACTGGAATTTATGAAAAATTGAGATGAAAATAATCCATACTTCTATGGTAATGTCTGAGCCCTGGTACGGTACTATAGGATAAGCACTGGACTTGTAACTGTAAGTTCTGAAGTTTAGACCCACCAGCCACTTTTGGAAACAGGGTCAGTGTGTGTGGGAACTGACTTGACAGTACACAACAACAACATGATATAGTTAATATTTACTCTATCAATTTTTAACCATGCTAACAATAGTCATTCTGTGTATATTCACAGTTATGCTGATTCAAACCAGCACTATTGATTTCTAACTATGTGACAACCATTAAAGAAATTTTGTCACATTTTATGGAATATACAGTTCAGATTAGAAATTCTAAGCAAAGAATCTACTACTCATTTGTCAATTTTCACATTGTGTTGGCTTGAGTGTGGCCATTATGTTGGAAGATGTTGGATGCCAGAAGGGTCACTATGGTGGGGAGGTTTCACCACAGCTTCCAGACTAAGACAGACTAGGCAGAAGGAAGATACAGGTGGTCCAAGTCTAAAAACTTAGCACTGAACAGTGGTGGTGGTGGTTATGTGCTGTGGAGTCGGTTCCGACTCATAGCGTCCCTGTACAGGGTAGCAGAACATTATCCAATATAGTGCTAGAAGACAAGCTCCTCAGGTTGGAAGGCACTCAAGATGTGACTGTGGAAGTAGAATTGACATTAATGATGTGGATGGAGTGAAGCTTTGGGGGACTTTCATTTCCTAATGTGGCATGACTCAAAACTGAAAAGGAATGAATAAAGGTCAACATCCAAAGCATCAACAAGCTGAAATAGAATCATATTGGCCATTGTGAATCAGACAACCACGAGATTTACTATGCCACGAATGAAGAATGACATCATATTCTTAATCAAAAAGAACATTTCAAGATCTATCATGAATTACCACACTGTCAATGATAGGATAATGTCCAGACAACTAAAAGATGACCAGCTGATATAACTATTATTCAAGTCTACTGTAACAGCCACTAAAGCCAAAGATGAGAAAACTGAAGGTTTATTTATTTACTTATTTATTTTTAACCAACTTCTGAAATCAGAAATTGATCAAACCTGCAATAAAGATGCATTGATAATTATTGGTTACTGAAATGTGGAAGTTGGAAACAAAGCAGATCAGCAGTTGGAAAATATGTTCTTGGTTATAGATATGACACAAGATTTTACAAGACTAATGACTTATTCATTTCAAATAGCTTTATTTTCAACAACATAAATAGTAACTATATATGTGAACTTTGCCATATGGAATAACAGGAATGAAATCAACTACCTCTATGGAAAGAGACAATGAAGAAACTCAATATCATCAGACAAAATAAAGCCTCAGGGACTAAGTGGGGAACAGACCATCATTTGCTCATATGTAGGTTTAATTTGAAGGTGAGGAAAATTATATTCACTAGAGTCGAAATACGACATTGACTATATTCCACCTGAATACACAGATCATCTGAAGAATAGTTTACACATTGAACACTAATGACCAACCAGAGACCAGACAAGCTGCGGATAACATTAAAAATATACATGAAAAAAACAAAAGGTCATTAAAAAGATAGGAAAGAAAGAAAAGGCCATAATGGATGTCAGAAGAGATTATGAAACTTGCTCTTGAATGTACAATAGCTAAATTAAAATGAAACAATGATGAAGTAAAAAAGCTGAATAGAAATTGTCAAAGGGCAGTTCAAGAAGACAAAGTAAAGTATTTTAATGAAATGTATAAAGACTTGCAGTTGAAAAACAAAAAGGGAAGAACAAACATGGTATTTCTCAAGCCTTGAGTTGTAATATTGAAGGGTTTTATGAGCAATATATTGAGTGATGCATAATGCACCAAAAGAAGATGAAAGAAGTTCATATATTCACAGTATCAAAAAGAATTGGTTGATGTTCAACTGCTTCAGGAGATAATGTATGTTCAAGAACTGATGGTACTGAAGAAAAGGATTCCAAGCTGCAGTGAAGGTATTACTGAAAAACAAAGCTTCAGTAGGTGATAAAATATAAATTTAAATGTTTCAACTATAGGTGCTCACTTTTCTATGCCAAGAACTTAGAAACAGCTACCTGGCCAAACAGACTGCAAAAAAATTCCTTTTTTTTGCCCTTTTTAAAAAAATGTGATTCAACATAATGTGGAAATTATCAAATAATATCCCTAATATTATGCATAAATAAAATTTGTTGAAGATAGTTTTAAAATGATTGAAGCAGTACATTGACAATCAAGTTGGGTTCAAAAGATGGCATGGCATGATGGATATAATTGTTGATATCAGCTGGATCTTGATTTAAAGGCAATAATATCAGAAATATGTTTACCTGTACTTAATTGGAAATGCAGGGGCATTTGACTATGTATATCATAACAAATCTGGATAACAATGCAAAGAATGAGGATTTCAGGACACTTAACTGTAATCATGTGGAATCTATTCAAAGATCCAGAGGCATTCAGGGATTCTGTTTGGTTTAAAATCAGGAAAGGTGTGTATCAGGGTTGTATACTTTCAATATACTTATTCAATCGGTATGATATCAAGTAATTTGAGAACTGAACTATATGATGAAGAATGTGACATCAAATTTGGAGGAAAATTGTTTAACAACCTGTAATATATAGATGACACAATTTTGTTTGCTGAAACAGAAGAGGACTTGAAGCATTTACTGATGAATGTCTAAGACAATAACCTTCAGCATGTATTACATCTCAACATAAAGCAACAAAAATCTTCACAACTGGACCAATTAGCAACATCACAATAAACTGAGTAAATATTGAAGTAATCAAGGATTCTATTTTAATTGGCTACACAATCAATACCCACAATACCCAGGGTGGCAACAGTCAAGAAATTTAATGATGTATTGCAATGGATACATCTGCTGCAAAAGTTCTCTTTAATGTGTTAAAAAGTAAAGATGTCACTTCAAAGATCAAGGTGTGTCTGATCCAAGCCATGGTATATTCAATCATCTTATGAAAGCTATATAATGAATACTTATGGAAGACTGAAGTATAACTGATGCATTTTAATTATGGTGTTGGCAAAGAATATTAAATATATCAGGGACTGCCAGAAGAATGAACAAATCTGTGTTAAAAGACATATAGCCAGAATGCTTCTTAGAAAGGAGGATGGTAAGACTTAGTCAAATGTACATGTTATCAGGTGGGACCAGTCTCTGAGGAAGGACATCATACTGGCTACTGTAGAGGATCACTGAAAAAGAGGAAGAACGTCAGTGAGATGGACTGGCTAGGTGGCTGTAACAATGAGAACAAACATAGGAATGACTGTGAGGATGGCAAAGAATTGGACAATGCTTCATTCTGTTGCACATAGGGTCTCTATGAGTCAGAAAAGACTCAGTAGCACCTAATAACAACACCACCAGGTACTCTGGACACTAAGAAAGTCTACTAAGAAAGTCTACATATCTACAACAGTGACCCTGTGCATACATTGTGGTGCATACATTTCTTCTGAAAAAAGAACTGGACAATGTATTCAAATTTTCACATGTAACACCATCAATGCTCACAAGGATCAGCTTACATTATGACAATGATATATACATGTAGGAGCTGCTGTATAAGGTATGCCATAAACTACCAATCATTTTAGATTCTTGACCATAGTCATAGGTTGTAACTTTTAATCATACCTCCTGACCTTTATTTACAAATCCTTTCTTTCTGTAATTGTAAAATCCAATGATTTCTTTGTCATAAAATGGTAAGCTGACCAATGCATTGCATTAGATGCCAATCTATAGAAAATAAACTGTTAACATAATTACATAAAGCATAATGTCTTTTTTTCTGTTAAAAAATATCATATATTTCATATTTTCAGACTACCCAAAACTCATAAAGCTTACACTACTGCAAGAGAGCAAGGCAGGGTATATACCTTTGATTTCCAAATCAATTTCTTCTTCATTACTGTAAGAAACCAAAAACTACTTCTAAATTTAGTCAAGTTAGTTAATATATGTACAACATTCTTTAGTTCTCCAAGTGTTCATTAGATTAACCTTCATTCTTTCTTTTAAGAACAAAATTCACTTTGTTCTTAAATACTTAATGAATTGGGTCATACTGTTGCAATTTTTTATTTTATGTAATTTTCTGAATTATAAGAGACATTTTCCTGTTACTGTAACAGAATTCAATTTGGCTTCAAAATATTTTTTGAATAATATTGAGTTTAATGTAAGTTTGCTCTTTTGTTTAAACATTTCATACAACAAAAGTAGGCAAAGTAAAAAGATTTAAAACTAGGTATCAATTTCAGAAGAGAACAAATCTCATCTAGAGAAACAACATCTTTGATACAAATAACAAAATACTCATGACCACATGCTGTAGTCAAGATTATATATGGAAAATAAGCATCACTTCTTACCAGGGGATCCCCCTCTGTTTCAATTTGTGGAATGTGCTTTGAGGTTGTGGCTTCCTTAGTGGATGTGCAGCCCTCATACCCAACATCTTCTGGTCGCAACTGAAGTAATGCTGGGCCCTCCTGAGGCAGAGATGCTGAGCTCCATGGGTATGTGTCAAGTACCCACTTTGAGGGATCTTCCCATGGTGCACGTTTCCCGTACATCTAAAAGTTGACCACACATTTAGCACATACAGAATGCATTTCTATTTGGTAAAAAGGTCACTATGAATTGAATGATTCTTTACATATTTAGTTTTCATTGGACTTTGAAAGGAATTAAGTAGGTGCACGGTGGCTCCATATGATAAGCACTGACAACCAGGTCAGCTGTCCAAACCAACCTCCTGAGGAGATATAAAGCCTTGGCAACCCAGGGTTCGCTATGAGTTGGAACCGACTCAAGGATACTTAATAACATCAACCAACAATTTTTTCAGAAATCCTTGGGTGACATAAATGGTTAAATATTTGGTTGCTAACCAATAGTTTTGCAGTTTCATTCTACCAAGAGAGCCTTGGAAAAAGACTTGGCAATCTATTTCCCCCAAAACTCTGCTATTAAAAAGCATACAGAGTGTAGTTCTACTCTGTCAAACATACCATAGCTATTAGTCAGAATCAACTCGATGACAACCAGTTAAAACAAATGGTAAGCAATTTTTGAGATTTTAAATATAGCTCTCTAGATATCTTATTTCCACCTCAAAGGACAGTCAAAATTAAATGAGCATTTAGAATAAATGGTGAGCATTTGGATGGGTGGGGAGGGTTATTTTAAATAATGTAGAAGTGCTTATTCACATTTATTTTTATTAACTTTACAAATCAAGTGAAACTCGCTGTTGTGGAAGAAAAGGCTCAGCTATGGAGGGCTGAAACTTCCACACTAGACAATAAGCAAGGAGCTCTGGGGGTTTAGTGGGAAAGTGCTTGGCTGCTAACCCAAAGGTCAATTTGAACCCACGAAACACCTTAGGGAAGAAAAATGTATTAGTTTGTTTCTGTAAAGATTATATTTCGGAAATTCTCTGGGGCAATTCTACTCTGTCATATATAGGGTGGCCATGGGCTGGAATTACCATGATGGCAATGGATAGATATCAGTGTTTATTATTAAATTGTACTGTTGAGATATGATGAATAAAAAAGACTTCTGTTTTCTATGTCTGGTTAACTCTATGTAAACTTCTTTGAGAATAAGAATACTTTCTCTGATACCTATTTTTCTTCAGGTTAATTTCCTGTTAAAATTACTTTATCTATTTTTTATATACTCCTATTGTTTCCTGTAAAAACTCTTTATAGATGTTTATGTATAAGACCATTCATAACTGAGAAGAGAAAATGGGGACCCAAAACACAAGCCTTTTCAAGGCTTGCCATGGAAGCAGTAAGCCCAGTAAAAAGACACGATGTGACTTCATTATAACTGTGGCACTACAGTAGATGGGAGAAGATGAATCCCAGAGATACTGAATGATGGGTAAGCTAAAAGTCAAGCTCACTAAGGATGAAGTGGTCAATGGAATTTTACATAAAGCACAAGGATACAGAAAGCACAGAAAGAAAGTTAAAATTCAAGCACATGGGCAATATTATGGGCACAGAACTTCTTTAACATATCTGTTTTTCCCCCTTCACCACTGCTGAGGGTCTCCAGGTGCATGTTTGCTCCAGATGGCCTCCTGTGGAATGTTCTATGTGTTTTGTTGTGGTTTGGTGAGGCAAAAGCAAACTGGTTGATACTGACAGAATGACAGGGGCTATGACCAGCCCTGGATGGCAAGAGGCTGTGGAAACCCTGCCTAAAAAAGGGAGCTTAGAGCCTGATACTGACATCTGCATATTTCTTCAGGAAATGCTAAGATGATCACATGGGTTTAGATTTTGGTTGTGTTTTGTTTATAAAGAGTTCTCTTGTTATGGAGTGGAAATTTTCTCTCAGTTGAAAATCCACTTTATAGAGGAAGTAAAAAATAACTTGTCATGCATCTTATCCTAATTAAAAGAAAATGTGTATTTTTTGAAGAGTTAAACTATGATTATGATAGCCCAGAATCAAGTAATGCCAGATTTTTAAACAAACTTCAAAAACAGAAATACTGGAGGCAACAAATAAAAAGCTAAATATGTCAAATTCTACATTTCAGCATGAACAGACCCATCAATTACTCATACGCAAATTCAAACTGAAGATGAAGAAAATGAAAACAAGTCCACAAGAGCCAAAATATGACCTTGAATGTATCCCACCTGAATTTAGTTATCTGAAGAACAGATTTGATACATTAAACACTAAAGACCATAGACCAGAAGAGTTGTGGGATGATATAAAGAACGTCACACATGAAGAAAGTAAAAAGTCATTAAGAAGACAAGAAAGAAGGAAAAGATCAAAACGGATGTCAGAAGAGAC